TGGGAATGGAGGGTGGGCTGGGGGTAAGGGGAGGGCGTGGGAGGGGGGAGAATAGGGGAACCCATGGCTAATATGTAGAACTGAATGGTATTGTAAAATAAAAAATATATATCACAAAAAATAAAAATAAAAAATAAAATAAAATAAAAAAAAAAAAATTTTATTGCTTGTATTTGATGATAGAGGTCAGTGACATTTCAGTTTCAAATGTCCTTGCTGCTGAGAAGTGTAGATCCTAGTGAAAATTACATAGTCATGAGATAAATGAGTTTTTGTTTTTTTCTTTTTTTCAAGAAACTATGGTATTATTGGATCTATACATCATAAAACATTCTGCTTTGTGGAAGTCCAGACTGAATGCAGCATCATCCATGTACCTGGCACATTTAACAGCCTGGATCTCTCACTACTTGGTATTTTTTGCATTAGTTAAGACAGGAAGTTGGTAGCTCAGTCAAAAGGGAGGGGAAATGTGCTGTTAGGTACATCTGAACTGAGTGCCAGACTCATCTCGGTCAAATTTGGGAAATATAGCCTCTGTACATAAACTTTAAAAGACAGCCATTAAATTCTAAAAAAAATTAATTACAAAGACCTTTTGTACAGATTTAAAAAATTGTCATAGTGATCCATATGATCGAGAGCTAATAATTTCATTTCTACTAGTGCTGCAGATTTGCCAGGTGACTTATTTCCTGGGTCAAGATGATTGCAGTTCCCTTCCTAGGACTTGTTAGACGACAAAAGGCTGTTTTGGAACTGCACATTTGATCAGGTTGTTAGCTTTTTACATTTTATTTCTTTTGAGAACCTTTAAATAAAAACATCTGAAACTTTAATAAACAGTAATTTATACTACAGATACATAGTAGTAGTATCTGTATAAAATACAGAGATAAAATAAAGTTGAGATTAAAAATCAAGTTGAAAGCTTGGTGTAGTGGTACTTGGTAAGCAGGTGGATCTCTGTGAGTTTGAAGTTAGCCTGGTCTACAGCCAGAGCTACATAGTGAGTTCAAATAAATAATTAAAAAATAAAACCAAGTCGACTAACTATATATTACCATGTAGTTGTATTTGCTATGGTTGTCAATAAATTAGAGAATAAGAAAATAGCATACAGCAAAAATTTATTGAAAAAAGAAAAGAAAAAATACTTTGTCAGAGAGGAGTTTCCATCAAGTCCTTCAGCAGGGCATGGTAGTAATGCCTACAACCCAATCCTCAGGAGATGGAGGCAGGATGGCCCTCCAGCTGGGGGCCTTAATTACGTGGTGAGTATCATGTCATAGTGAGTACCACACATAAAATCGTTTCATGAGGAAAAAAGTGTAAGCATTTCCTACTAAAGAATCCCTCAAAAAAGTGTTGAGGTTCACATCTCAACACAGAAAATCTACTACGACTCCACAGGAAAAGTTTGCAGCACATTCTAAATTTGTTCCTTACAAGTTAAAACTTTCATTTCAAGGATCTTCAAGGACTTCTGGACCGTTATCTGGTGAGCGTGGGGAACTCTCTGAACTGGGACTGGTAATCCTGCACACCTCACACTGACCGCTCTACAGCATGACTGGTCTGCAGGACAAAACAAAGTAAGAATGACACACTACAGTCTAAAGCATGTGTTATCAGAAGTCTGTTTATTAAGGGAATTGGCCCTGTGAGTGCCAGTGTATTTTCTATAGTGATCTGGTCCTGACTGGGAATTCCAAGGGCAGTTGCTGCTGCTGGGGACAGACCTAGTAATTCACCATCTATCTGCTCTGCTGCTGGCAGAGGCTGAGAACTGTGCAGTTATAGCACAGGTTACGATCTAAGGGAGGGGAGTCCTGGGGGTCACGGCACAAGGTGACAGTGGTGGGAGTTGGACAGGCGGCAGATGACAGAAAGCCTCAGGGAATCTGCACCATGGCAGAAGGCAGGCCTAGAGGGTCCTGGGCAGGGAAAGGGGATCAGATACAGCTTTCCACTTGTCTGAGGAAAGACCATGGGCCAGGGAGAGGCTGGAGTTACCACCAGTCCAGAATGTAAGAGAGGTAGGGAGCATTAGACTGAGAAGGCACCAGGCTGGACCCTGCTCACCATGGCCAGGAAGAAAAGCAGTAACTTCAAGGAGAAGCTACTACCTTATCAGCCCCGAACTCTGCCTGCATGTTGGACAGACACACAGTTAGAAATCAGCAACTGAGAGCTCACCCTTATGTGTGGCTTCCCGCATGTGCCTCTCTATCTCAACAAGATGACAGGAGAGCAGGATGCTGATATCCCAGAAACCAACACAATGTGTATGGGCTCACAATCTAGGGGCAGAATCGGACGCTGCATCTGGCTCCTTGTCACACAGCCACAGGACAAAATGCCTGGGGGTTTTGTTTTTGCTTTGTTTTTAATAGTTTATTTTAGAGATTTATTTTATTTTATGTGTATGGGTGTTAGTCCTGCATCCATGTTTATGCACCATGTATGCAGTGCCCACAGAGGCCAGAAGAAGGCATTGGGTCCCCTGGGAACTTGAGTTATAGAAGGTTGTTAGCCACCAAGTGGGTGCTGGGAATCAAACCCAGGTCCTCTGAAAGAGCAGTCCATGTTTTTTACTGCTGGGCCACTGTTCCAGCCCCAAAATGTCTGTTTATTAAGGGAGTCGGTGATCATTTAAATGACTTTTAGTGACAGTTTTAGTATAAAGCGAGTCTGTATTTCCTTTCTGGAAAACAGGTATTTCATACAGTGATCAGGTAACAGCCACGCTCGGGGCACAGTGAACAAGGGCTCCGCCTCACTCCCCACTGAGCCTTTCTCTGAGCATACCAGCACCATAGAGTCGCCCTACCTCCGCCAGCCCAGCAAACAGAAGTCTGGTCAGAGGCCCGCTACACAGTAGACAAAAGAGGAGGGAAGAAGCCACTGCTCCCCTCACGGGGAAGTCACCGGACACGAAAACTCTCCAGCCTCAGTCCCTCAAGAAGGATGTGCCCGGGAGCTGCAGAGTGCAGTGTGCCCCTCTGGATTTCAAGGTTTATCTGGTTCCCTTTCCCGCTGAAGCTAGTCTCAGAACTAAGCCTACACTGACAAGTGCCTAAAGATACCAACCCCGACCCTAGTCCCAGCCTCAGGTCTACAGAAATAGAGAAGAAGGCCTAGAGCGGGGGTAAGAACCCCCAGTCTCGCCTGGACCTGTATGGTGATGATGCTGGCCAGCTGTAGCACAGGCAGACATGAGTTCAAGGGTGGCCGGCAAGGGTATTGTCAGGGTACAGGTTGGAGAAGCGGCCCAGGGCCCAGATGGGGAAGACGTTCCTATAACTTGTGTAGCTGATGGCACAGGACTTGTTGAAGACCCCAGAGATGTTCTCCTGGAAGAATACAGAAGAAAGAACAGTTAAGGAGCTTGTCCCCACATGGTGGTCCTGACTATTGAATGTCCCAGCCCCAGAGCAAGTCTGCTTGGGGAGGGCTGATGAACCAAAGACGGGGAAGCAAGGTCCCAGCTCAGAGACTAGAGCTGAAGAAAACACTCTTCCTTGGAACAGTGGTCTCTAACAGTCCCTGTAACCACAAGGGCAGATGGAAAGCCATCCGCACGTCTTGTCAGTGAAGAACCATACACAACATGTACTATGGTAATGCCAAGGTTCTGCAGGAAACCCCAACTATCCAGCCCTTTTCCCCCAACCAGTCCCTTTACAAATAGCAAAATGTGCTCAACACTTCAAGACCCAGCAACACATCTTAGATCTACAACCAGGGCAAGCCTCTGGCTGGCAGTGTCCATATCCCAGATCTCCAAAGCACCCTGAGTGGAACATGGGCAAAGGAAAGTGTGTGGAAACTAATGGGCAAGTTGAAAATCCATGCTGGAACCACTATCCCGTGGCCCCTCACACACCTGAGGCCAGTCTCCATTGGAGAGCTGTTTCTCCAGCAGACATCTGATTCCTCTCTCCTGAGCACTGATGTCGGGATGCCTGAGGGACAAGAAGACAGGCTTGAACAAACATGCATCTCAGGAGAAGGACAAAAAAAAAAAAAAAACCCAAATACTGTGGCAATGACAGGCAAATCTTAACAACCAGAATCCTCAGACTCCTACTGCAGTCTTTCCAGGAGCCCTGAGAAGCAGAGCGTGGGCAAGCATGGGGATGGTCAGGTGGGACATACACTCCTGTACACTTGATTCTACCCTAGAAGACATGGTTGACAGGTGACATGGCTGGCACAAGGTGCTGATAAGATTTCCAAGGAGAGGTCTGGTGCCTACTCTGCTCCCTGGAAACTACAGAAGCTATGTGCTCCGATGCACTGGCTGGAAGCGTGGGACACCAGACGGACTAAGGGTCTGACAGCAAGGCCAGCAGTGGGGGACTGACTCGGAGCAGACCGATGACTGCCCTGCTCTTGGGGTCCCTGTATGCGCTGACTAAGGGGATTTTAGGAAGATCTCCAAATGGTTTCAAGTGTACTGTGGCAACACAGGCTAAGACAACACATACAAATTTGTGCGTGTGCATGTGTATGTGTGTGTGTGTGTGTGTGTGTGCGTGTGTACCTATACCTGTGTGAACACGAACATGCATATCCCTAAACATATATATATATATGCACCTACAAGTGCATACACATACATGTGTACACCTGTGTTCACTAGTGCAGTACACGTGGCTCAGTACAAGCTATGGACACACGAGGACCAAAAGCAGCTACAGTCTTGTGCTCTTAACCCTGAGGCAGTACTTTCTCCCCACCCTGGGAAGCAGCTTCCCCACCACAGCCCATATCACTCATCTGCTTCCCTTGGGCCCCAGCTCCTCTGGCTCTGCCAGCAGGTACTGACTACCAATGGACAGACAGACCATTTCGAAGAGGTAAGTCTCTCTATAGGGTTCCACTCAGCCAGACTGGCTGCTACTTAGCCTAGGAATAGGGCAGGTGGTTTCTGAGGCTGCCTCTACCCACAGTTACAGAGGAATATAATATATGAACATGGCTCAGTCCCGTGATTCCTTTCACCTCTCCCCACATCTGTACGTACCCTGTCCCACCTCCTCAGAGTTGAACAACCTAGTATACAGGCCCGAGGATGGGTGCCATTGCCCTTACCTGACAGCCATCAAGCCCATCAGGGCCCAGCACGTACTGTGGACCTGGGACCTGGCACTCTGCACGTAACGCCGTTGTTCACAGGACTCAAAGTCTTCTCCCCAACCTCCATCTGCCATCTGCTGGGACAGAAGGAAGTTGCAGGCCTGAGACACTTCTGCACAAGCAGTCCTGTAGAGAGCAAGACAAGACACTTGAGACATCATGTCCTGGGAGGATCTAAGGCCTCTATATCCTACTCTGTGACAGGCTGCCTTTGGGTCATGGGAGAGGCCTGCAGAGGTGAGTGGACACAGGTGCACATGTCTCACAGAGCTAATGGGCACAGAGAAAAATACTCTGCAGCTACAGACACAGGCAGGCTGACTATGTGGGCACATGGAAGCAGACCCAGGATCCCTGGGTTGCATCTTGCTTAGTATAACATCCCTACTCCCCAAACCCACCAGATCTAGAAGCACTGGCTAGGCAGCCAGAGACAGGGCCTGAAGCGAGCCCACCTTCCCTGGTCCTAGACCCCAGTCCTTTCTCACTCAGGATGAGAAACAGAGATTTCTAAGACTCTGAGGTAATGCCTAGCCAAGGCTTATGAGCCAAGAAAATATGTCCTTAGAATTCCCTTTTTCTTTATCAGTGATCTTACCTCATTGTTTAAAGATATTAAACAAATAAAATCAAATATCAAAGGGGAAAAAAAAAAACATGGCAGAGCATGACTGACCTGGTTACTGTCAACTTAACCCAGAGTCACCTGGGAAGAGAGATCATCAACTAAAGAACGTGGGAAGGTCCAGCCCACTGTGTAAGAAAGCTGGCTGAGTGTCAGTTCCTGCCCCAACATCCCTCAGTGATGGATTATGACCTAGAAGGACAAGCCTAACATAAACGCTTTCTTCCCCAAGGTGCTTTTGGTCAGTGTTTCATCACAGCAACGGAAAAGCAGGCGAGAACAATTGTGGTAAGGCCCTCGCTTGACATCAGCCTGGAAGCCACACTCACCCATCTTGGTAGGTATGCCCCATGCAAGCGAAAGCTTCCAGGCCAAACCAGGTGCCATAGGTGAAACAAACTCCCCAGGAGCTAGAGGGAGGCAAAAGAGAAGGTCAGCCTCGGTCTTCATTCCAAGCGAGAGGACAGGTACTCTACCGGGTACTGGGACAACCTCAAGAAGGGAGGGCAGAACTGGGATGGAGCATGGTGGTGCATCCCTGCATTCCCAGCACTGGGCTAAGACAGGGGATTGCTAGTTTAAAGGCAGCCTGAGATACACAGCAAGATCCTGTCTCACAAAACCAAAGACAAAGTAAGAGACAGAGAGAAGAGGATGGAGGGTTGGGAAGGGGAAGCAAAGAGGGGAAAGGGATGTCGGCAGTTGCTAAAAGCAGTGTTCACATACATCCCAGACAGTGCAAATGTGAACACTGCTTAAAGTGGCGCTGTTCCCCTGGCTCAGCCACTGCTTCCTCCACACAAGACACAAAAGAGCTGCTGATGCGCACAAGAGGGCGGAAAATCACATCTAGGCCGCAGAGCCCTCTCCGTACGTAACCCAACTGTTCCCTACAACACGAGCTCTCAGCATAAGGGAAGAGCAAGCATCAGCCAAGGAACATGACCAACCAGGAAGTGCTTCCTGAGCCCCCAGGAAGCAGGCAGCAAGGGCAGACTCCCAATCCCATGTGCACGTCATCACCTCCCACCAACCCCTCTGCAGGTGAGCCCAGGTGCCTACTCACCCCTCCCAGGAGCCGTCAGATCTCTGTATCTTTCGGCAGAACTCCAGGCCTTGCTTGAGGGTCTCCCTGCAATACAGGAAGTTAGCCCAGTGAACACTGCAGACAAAATGCCTTCCCCAGCCTTGCCCACACAATGGTCTCAGAGATGTGAGAATGGCCTCCCCTTCAAACAGATCAAAACAAACGTTCAAAGAGGAAAAAATGTATATAGAGCTATAGGACAGAGAAGGGGCAAACAGCCTGTCCACGTTCAGAGGAAACAGAAAGGAAAACAGACTTTGGAGGTGAAGACCACATTGGAAGTAGCTCTGAAAACTACCAAAGCCACTGACAATAAAACAACACTAGTGTCACGGGCCTGGACAAATCATATAAAATGAACTAGATTGAAAACCAACAACAACAGCCTGCGTGCCATCTTCCAGTATTCTGAAAGCCAGCTAGCAGGGAAGGACTTTCTACTTTTGTCCTAGCCTAATTTTGCCAAAGTATATGGTGTCTTTAACACTAAGGACTGTCTTGTTCTGCAGTCAACAACAGCGGCGATAGCCTTGTAGTTTGAGGGGCCTGCCTAACAGCTCCTAGGGAGGTAGCCCACTCCTAGCATTGAGACAGTTTACAAAAAACAAATGATAAGACAATACACATAAAGAAAGAGTAAGCTGGGAGAGATGGCTCGGTTAATAGCATTCAGACTGATCTCATTTGCCCCCATGAGACATCAGTCCAATTCCTCTGTCTCACCCTCTGGGACTGTAAGACCAACTAAACTCTTTCTTTTATAAGTTGCCTTGGTCGTGGTGTCTCAGTACAGCCATAGAAAGCAACTAATTTCTTTACTGCTTTCTGTGTGATGTAAGGCTCCCTTCACAGGAGGAAACTCACGTGTGATATTCTAAGCCAAAGCAAAATTCATGGCTAGGGAAATCATAGGCCCAAATGAGGAAGCTATTATTATTGTTTTACTAAATGGATATGATATGCCTATCAAATTGCCTTCTAAATTTGTGTTTATACCCTTACATTACTGCTGCCCTCAGTCTTCATCATCGTGGAAGGAAACTTTAATAATGAGAGATATACCACTGAGACTCATAGCCGTGCTCCTGAGACAAACTAATTGTTGCTATATCATAATGGCCCAATATTCAACCATAGATGGGGAGAAATGAACAGCTACACCAACCTCTCCAAGACTCAAGAACCATCACAAACAAGGTTAAGAACACTTAGCAGCTATTTAACTGGACACTGATGGCAGAGTTAGACATGAATGCTCATTTTAGGAGATGTTCAAGAAGACAGGAAAAATTACCCATTCTTGTGTTATAGTTGTACTGTCTTCCCCAGAGTAGCACACACACACACACACACACACACACACACACACACACACACA